GAGCCACCGGGACCCTCGTGCCCTTCCCCAGGCCATCCACATCGTCAGCGGCATCGTCCGCCTCTGCTGCGGGGTGGTCCTCACCCTGGCCGAGCAYTACATCCCTCCCGTCGTCGTGGCCAGGGGGGTCCTCTTCTGGCTGGGGCTCCTGGTAAGCAGGGACACGTGCAGGGTCCATCTCCCCCTGCCAAACAAGGGCAGGGTGCTCTTGCCGGGGCCAAATCCCCCATTACTAGTCTCTTTTTAAGCTCACGTCCTCCGGTTGTCTCCTCTCCCGAGCCTGGGGGAGTTCGGGGCTGCAGAGCTCCACGTTTCTGGTGTGGGATGAGAGATGTGTAGTGGGGAGCAGWGGGGATCCTCCTGCTGACTTTCCCATCTCTGTTCCTGGAGCAGCTCCTGGTCACAGGGTCTCTGCTGGTGGAAAGTGGGAAAAGAGAGAACGTCCTGCTGGTAAGAGGGTGGCCGAGCGGGCAGCGGGAGGAACACGGAGCTCACGGTGGACTGTGGCTTCTGCTCCCRCCAGGGGCTCGTGGCACCTCCACAGCCCACCTTCCTCCCAGGTTTCTTCAGGGCCTCGAGTGAAGCACATAAGGGCAGGCTTGTCCCCTGCAGGTGCCCGGTTCTCCTCCTGTCAGCCACTGAGGGTGCTCAACACTTCGAGCCCCAGGCCCTCTAGGAAACGTTTAGACCCCAGCGAAGTCACTTGCAAATGACGAGGGGAAAATACCCCGCCACTTGGGCCAGGAGGCTTCTCCAGGAGGCCACGTGGCTCCATCCTGACCCCCCGTGACGCCCAACCTGCTGTAAGGGCTCCATGGGGCTGGGCAGCCCTGGAGCAAACACCCCCCAAGCTCAGGCACGCTGACCAGTATCCACGAGCCCCCCTGCCCAGGGAGCTCGGACAAAAGCGTCCTCTTCCCAGCTCTGTGYCGCTGTGCCCCTGCTTCTGGGCTCTCCGTGGGCGTGTGGGCCTTCTGGGCTCCGTATTTCGCCCTTGGAGGCGCTCCCTGCAGCAGGCAGGGCGCGTTGCCGCTGGCCCACACGCTGCGCCCACCACAGGKGAGGACCTGCTTCGCCTTCAGCGCGGCGGCCATCCTCAGCACCCTGGCGGCCGCCGCTCTGCACGCCGCGGCTATCAACGCCACGCTTCCCGCGTGCGAGCGGGGCCGGCCTCACCTCCTGAGGGAGGAGACGTGCTTTGACGCCGAGGTGAAGGTAAAGGCCTCGGGCAGCGGCCTCGGCGGCGGGCAGCGCCCGCAGGCCTCCCCGCCCRCCCTCCCGCCCGCAGAGCCGCAGCGACGGCCTCAACGTGGCCCTGGTGGCGCTCAGCCTGCTCGAGTTCGGCGCCGCCGTGGCCGCCGCGGCGCTCGCCCGCTGCCCGCTGCCGCGCTACGGGCGCCTGGTACGGACGCAGCTCGGCCGAGGCCCGCGCGGCCTCCCCCGGGCCGCGAGGCGCTACTTCTGCCCCGCCTTGTTCCGCAGGTCGGGTGAGGCGGGGAGCGCCGAGGAGGGTCCCCGCTGCGGTCCCGGTGCCCGCAATAAACCGACCCCGTGGCTCGGCCTGGCGAGCGTCTCATGGCGGCCGCCCAACGGCCGCCCGCCCGCCCTCGGCATGGCGCCCGCGACGCCCGCCCGCACTAAAGATGGCGGCGCGCGGAGGGGGCGCGTGGCGCGCTGCGGGCGTCATCGGGCGGCGCCCGGGCATGCGGCGCAGGGTGGGTGGGTGTGCGAGGCGCGTTGGAGACGTCATCGGAGCGCGACGGGCACGCGGGGAGCGGGTGGTCTGCGGGAATGGCGGCGGCGGCGGGAGCGGAGCCGGAACCGGGACCGGGACCGGAAGTAGGGCCGGCAGCAGAGTCAGGACCGGGCTCGGAACCGGAGCTGTGCCCGGGGCCGGGCCCGGGAGCGGCGCTGGAGCCGCAGCCCGAGTCGCTGCCCGGGGCTCCCGGTGCCGGTGCCGGGGAGGTGCCGCT